CCCAGAGATGGGCCTGCAACCTGGGTGACCGTTCCAAACAACTAAGCTCCCGCCCAGAGCCTGGCCTGCAGTTTTGTCAGCCATTTCCTGTTTGTGCGGATGCACGGAGTTTAGCCAGTTAGATAGCTGGAGGGCACAGTTCCAGTCAGAGTGCCATTGCTTCAGACACCAGATGCAAGCTCTGGGGTCCCCACTTTCCTTTCAATTATACCCCATTGGAGCACCCCTAAATAACATGGCTAGTTTGGGCATTTTTGTTGTTGCTTTTTTTAATTATTATTATTTTTTGTTTTTGAGAAAGAGAGGAAGAGGGAAAAAGAAAGATTTATTTTTCCACTCATTTATCATTCATTGGTTGATTATTAACTACTTGATTATTAACTTTGACAATCTAGGACTGCGGGCTCCCAATTATTCCCCTGCCTGCCTTCCTGATTGCCCCTGACGCTTCTGCCTGCCAGCCTGATCACCCCCTAACCACTCCCCTGCCAGCCCGATTGTCCCTAACTGGCCTCCCCTGAAACCCCAGTCACTCCCAAATGCCCTCCCTTGCATATCCCCTCTTTATTAGATAGGGTTTTTTATTTAGCATATTGGACAGTCCTAGCTGGTTTGGCTCAGTGGATGGAGCATTGGACTGCAGACTCAAGGGACCCAGGTTCGATTCCAGTAAAGGGCATCTACCTTGGTTGGGGGCACATACCCAGTGGGGAGGTGTGCAGGAGGCAGCTGATCAATGTTTCTCTCTCATAGATGTTTCTAGCTCTCTATCCATTTCCCTTTTTCTTCCTCTCTGTAAAAAAATCAATAAGATATATATTTTTAAAAAGAAACATTTAAAATTCCTCCATGTCTGCCTGGCTGGTGTGTCTCAATGGTTGAGACCCCAGGCTGCCACCCCTGGAAGGAGATCGCACCCTGGCCAGGCTGAGACCCCAGCCCAGGCTGCCGCGCTGGGCGCTGGCGCCTCCCAGACGTATAGGCTGGGCTGCTGCCTCTGGGCGGAAATTGCTGCATGGGGACAGGCGCCTCCCAGCTCCACCCTGGACTGCTGCTGCTGGGCGGACTTGGGGACTCTGGCAGGCGGGCGTCGCTGGGTTTATTCCCTTCCTTCTCTCTGGCCAAACAGTGGCAGTTGAGGATCTGCTCAGGGAGCATTTCACCCTCTGGCCGCTGGGTTGGAAACCAGGTAAAACTCCACTGCTGGCCGGACGCCTCTGCTTCTTTAATATCGCAGACAGTCCTCCACTGCCAAGTGCACCGGGCCTGGAACTGGCTTTGCGTTGGCTGGCCCCTCCCCCGGAGGCTTTCTCCCCGCTATTCATCGGGGCATTCCCGCCTTCTCTCCAAGTCCCCGCTCACGGGCACCCTCTCCAGGAGGCCACCTACTATTTAAAAAGGCAGCCCCGCCGTCTGGCCCGGCTTGGCGATTGAGTGTCGACCTATGAACCAAAAGGTCACATGATTCCCCGTCAGGGCACATGTCCGGGTTGCAAGCTTGATCCCTACTGTGGGGCATGCAGGAAGCAACCCTTCCATGATTCTCACTCATCATTGATGTTTCTATCTCCCCCTCTCTGAAATCAATAAAAAATATATATATTTAAAATGCTGCCCCCCACCTCACCGGCCCCCAAGCCCGTCAGCCCACTTTCAGCATGCCCACTGTCTTCCAGCAGGAATCTGCTTGTAGCGGGTTCTTGTTATAGTAACCTACGTGTTACAGTAGGCCAGTAACCTGCTTGTTACAGGCACTGGTGTCCTCTCTGTCCCTCTCCTCTGCCTAGGCCAGCGCCCCAGGACCAGGGTCTTTGCTTTGGACTCTGAGGCAGTCCCAGTGCCAGGACACAGGGGAGGATCAATATTTACCGATTCCCTGATTCCGTTTACTCAAGGGAACAAAAGCTGTTCCCATAAACTCCAGCACCGCCCGCCTCCAAAGTTTCAGTGGGGATGACCAGGTTCCAACCCCAAGTCCCCAAGTTCGGAGCCTGCAGTCCGGGGTTAGCCTCCTGGTCCAGACTCCCCTCACCTGGGGCTCTGGATGGGAGAGCACCCAGATCCCAAACCTGGAACCCAGGCCCTCCAGGCCCAGGGTCCAGAACTGCGGGCCCCCAGACTCGGCCTTCGCAGTCAGTGCCCCTCACCACACCTCCACCCCATCTGGGCTCCGGGGTTCAGGATCCGGCCCCGCCCTGAGGTTTTGAGAAGTCTGGCGCTGCCTCCGGGGAGGAGGGCGGCGGCGGCGCCGGGATGGGGGCGGGTAGAATGGGGGGACGGAGGCGGGAAGGCCGCTCTGGGCTGCGGGGGGCGCTCTGGGCTGGCGGAGTCTCGCCCGCCGCCTGCACTCCCACCCTCGCAGCAGACCGCAGTGGCCCGTGACGTCCCAGCCCCCTGGGGTCCCGGGGTCTCAGGTTCGAACCCTGAGCCCGCGGAGCGGACGAGCCCTCTCGGCCGGGCCCGGGAAGGGGAAGGGCGATCGCGGCCCAGCCGCCGCCGCCCCGCCCGCTTTAGCGCCAAAATTTGAAAGTCGCCGGCGCCTCCGGAGCCGTGAGCGGGAGCGGGAGCCCGGCCCCACCCCGGGGAGCGCGGGGCTTTCTGGGACTTGGAGTCCAGCCCCGGGGGTGGGGGGTCTCCCCCAGGCCCCGCCGAGAGGTCAGGGCCTGGCGAAGGGGCCAGGCTCCAGGGGGCAGAGGGGGGACAGGCCCGCGCGGCCCGGATGGGGTGGCACGTGCCAAGAGGGGCCAGCGCGCCGGGCAGGGTGGGAGCCCACAGAGCCTGCATGGCAGGCGGGTGGGCATCAGGTCCTTCAATGGGGAGAGGTTTGCAGCCAAGTCTGGGGGGTGGAGGACAGGAAAGGTGACTCCATGCCACCCCAAACCTCAATCATATTCTCCCCTTGACCTGCCTCCTGTAGTATCACTTATTCGTGTTTTTGTTTAAATCCCAACTGTCATAAATATTTTATATTATTCCTACCAGTAGGAGAAAAAGAAAAAACAAAACCAGTGGGCTCACAGGCACAAGGCAACTTTTCAGAAAACAGCATAGGCCCAGTTCAGCCAGGGAGTCACTGCTGCCTGCCTGGGTTCCAAGGCCGGCCTCTGTCTCAGGTGTGCAGGGCAGGGAGCACTCTCCCCGGGTGCACGGGCTGGGGAGCACTCTCCCCGGGTGCACGGGCTGGGTCCCCGAGGAAGGCGGGACCAAATGCCCAGGTGCACGTGTGGGAGGGAGGGATTCTGGCAGAAGGAACAGCTGGCAGGTTCCAGAGCAACAGAAAAGAAGTACTCCTTAAAAAAAAAAAAAAAGAAGAAGAAGAAAATTATATGCCAGCTGGGCAGGAACTACTTCTTTTTTTTTTAATTTTAATTTTTATTGATTTTTTACAGAGAGGAAGAGAGAGGGATAGAGAGTTAGAAACATCGATGAGAGAGAAACATCGACCAGCTGCCTCTTGCACACCCCCTATCAGGGATGTGTCCACAACCAACGTACATGTCCCTGACCAGAATCGAACCCAGGACCTTTCAGTCCGCAGGCCGACGCTCTGTCCACTGAGCCTAACCGGTTTCGGCAGGAAGTACTTCTTAACTGGGGGCAATTAGCCCCCCAGGTGACATGGGGCAATATCTGGAGACATTTTTGGTTGCCCCGGACTGGAGGTGGTGGTGAGGCCAGTGGCATCAGGCAGTGGCAAGGAGAGATGTTGCTCCACATCCTCGAAGGAACAGAATGGTCGTCCGCCACAGCAAGGGATGGGCCCACATTCCACCGTGCCCAGGCCCTACCTCCTCCATTTGCCTCTTCTGGGCAGGGTATGTAAGTGGAATCACACAGTATGCGGACTTTGTGTCTAGTTTCTTTCTCTGGACATGTTTTTTCTTAATTAAACGTAATAACAGATTCAGGTGTACAACCTAATGATTCAATATTTGTATATATTGGGAAACGATCACCACCGTAAGTCTAGTTAACATCTATACATAATTGCAATTTTTTTCCTCGTGACAAGAACTTTAAAGATCTCTCTTAGCAACTTTAAAATAGAGTATTGCTAACTGTAGCCATGTCATGCGATACATCACATCCGCATTGCTTATTTATCTTAAAACTGCAAGTTTGTACCTTTAGACCCCTCACCCATTCCTGCCTGCCCCCATCTGTTTTCTGTATCTATGAGTTTGTGGTTTGTTTTTATATTTTTTGTGTGTGTCTTTTTTAAGTCAAGTATGAGTGAATCACTGAGCATGTTTTTAAGGGGTTTTCATCATTTTTAGTTTTAAAAATATATATTTTATTGATTTTTTACAGAGAGGAAGGGAGAGGGATAGTTAGAAATATGGATCAGCTGCCTCCTGCACACCTCCCACTAGGGATGTGCCCACAACCAAGGTACATGCCCTTGACTGGAATCAAACCTGGGACCTTCAGTCTGCAGGCCAAAACTATCCACAGAGCCAAACGGGTTTCAGCACCATTTTTACTTTTAGTCTGACTTCAAAGAGATTGAATGGGGAAATTGAGGCATTGTAAAGAAACCTCAGTGACGGAGCTGTGATTTTTATAAAATGTCTATATTTTTTTATTGATTTCACAGAGTAAAAAAGAGGGAGAGAGAGAAACATCAAAGATGAGAGAGAATTATTAATTGACTGCCTCCTGCACATCCCCCTCTACGATTCGAGCCCGCAACCCCTGAATCGAACCCGGGACCAGTCCGCAGGCCGGCGCTCTAACCATTGAGCCAACCTGGCTAGGGCAAGGAGCTGCGATTTTGAAGTCCAACAGTTTAGCTCTGGACCCGAGGCCTTAAGCTAGCCGTTTAATGAGTAGCTAGTGAAACAGCAAGAGGCTGAACGGGCGTGCCCCCTCCTAACCCGCGCAGGGACTTCAGCTCCCGGCATGCCCCGCAAGGCACTCGGCCGGACTACAAGTACCAGGCTGCCTAGCGCGGGCGGCAGCGGGCGGCCGGCGCCATCTTGGTCGGCGGCGCGGATTGAATGAGCCCGCCGAGCCGCGGCCGCCGTAGGGAGCCGCGCGGGCCGCGAGGAGCCGCCGCCGCCGCCGCCATGGCCACGGCCACGCCGCTGTCCGGCCGCAAGGGCGGGCCTGCCACGCCGCTGTCGCCCACGCGCCTGTCGCGGCTGCAGGAGAAGGAGGAGCTGCGCGAGCTCAATGACCGCCTGGCGCACTACATCGACCGCGTCCGCGCGCTGGAGCTGGAGAACGACCGGCTCCTGGTCAAGATCTCCGAGCGGGAGGAGGTGTCCACGCGCGAGGTGGGCCGGGGCTGCGGCCTTGGGGGGGTCCCCCGACGGGCCCCCGGGGGGCTGGGAGGCCCTGAGCGCGGCGTGCACGCGGGGCGGGCGCCGCCCACCGGGGGAGTCCCGGGCGGGGATCCCGGGGGGTTTGGGGTCCCCAGGGGTGCAGTGCTGGGCAGACCTAGCCCCCGGGGACTCCCCGGGACACCTGGGCCCTCCCCCGCTGGGCGACAGGTGGAGGCGGGCAGGCCCCGCCCACCAAGGGTTTGGGGAAACCGGGGGGTCCCCGGAGTGACTGCACCAGGCGCGGCCCCGCCCCAAAGGGGGTTACGGGGCGCTCGCCCGAGGCGTTTGGGGGTTCGGGCGTCCCGGGAGAAGATTGGGGGGCGGCTCCCTGGCCTCCGAAGTGACTGGGAAGCCCAGGCTGACAGGGGCCTGCTGGGGGGGCGTCGCGTCTCCGAGGGGGTGGGGGTCCCTGGGCCGCTCCACGGGCCGGTGCTGAGTCCGGGGAGTGCGGGGCTGAGCGGGGGCCGGGCAGGGGCGGGGTCCGAGGGGAGGTGGCTGACGCCTCGCGGGCCAGGTGGCGAATTTGGGGAGCTCTCAGTTAGCACCGCACCCCATGACTCCTGGGCTGGAGCCTGGTCTCTCCGAGGGGCGGAGGAGGCGGGAGGTCTTGGGGAACCAGAAGGAATATTGGGGATCCAGGTTGGGCCCGGACTTAACTGCAGACGGAGGGCAGAGGGGCCGGGAAAGCCCCGCCCCTTAAGGGGATGTGGGACCCAGTGTCTTGGGGGGCCTGGGGGGTCTGTGCGAGGCTGGGGACTTACCCAGAGCCACCTCTTCTTTTCTCCGTCCCAGAGGCGGGCCCTGCCCACGGGGGGGTGGTCCCCAGGGGGCTTTGAGTGTTTCCCAGGGGTGCAGTGTTGGGCAGACCTAGACTCAGGACTCCCAGGGGATCTGGGGCAGGCCCCGCCCACCAAGGAGTTGGAGGAAATGTGGGGGTTCCCCTGAGTGATTGGATGTGAGCCAGGCGAGGCCCAAGGGTGGGCCTTCTGAATAGGGGGAGGTGGTCCACCATGTGCTTCCCTGTGGCCTTGGTGGGAGAGCCAGGACCTGAGCCTCCCCTTCCCCATCCGGAAAATGGGCCAAATGAGGGGCTTATGGCAGGAGAGCAGCTGGGGGGGTCATTTTTGGGAGCTGCTTGCCCTCTAAGTGACCTTGAGTCTCACTACTTCCTCTGTAAGGTGGAGGCAAAACCTTTTGGGCTTGTCTGTGGGGCTAGGATGAGAGAATGTTCTGTAGAACAGAGGCAGGGATATGGGACAGGTGCCCAGCAGAAGCACTGGTCTGGGGTCGGGTCTGTGGTCCCTGTTTCGTAGGGCCTGGGACAGGAAGCCACCCAGAAAGTGGAGCTGGGGTGTTGGGAGAGAGGCCGTCAGGTAATTGGTGGAGTTCTCAGTTGCTTGGGATTGTATTCAAACTCAGGGTTCAAATTCTGCTTTTAATTTAGGTGACCTTGGGCACGTCACTCAGCTGCTTGGAGCCTCAGTTTTGTTATCTGTTCGGTGGGGCTAGAATTGTCCCCCAAAATTGTTGAACACACCCCCCCGCCCTGCCTTAGCAGTGTGAGGGACCTCGGGTTGCAGCCTCGTTTCTCCCTGTGAGCCGGTACAGCCACCCCATGCTTGAGCCGGTTTCTTGTCTTCCCCATCTCTCTCCCCCACCCCCCCAATGGACCCTCTGCAAATGGAGTGAGACTGACTTTGGGAGTGTTGAACTTAGTGGGCCCCCTGGAGGGCATGCCCTGACCCCGGTCTGTCTGGGGGTGGCTTATTGCTCAGCTGCTAAGGCTGCTGGAATGTAAGTTAACATCTGGGAGCAAGGGGTGGCGGTGGGGGGAGCCGGGTGCTCTAGGTGATGACAGGTGTGTTCACAGCTGAGCTAGGGAGTTCCAACCAGCTTGTCTTTTGGATTCCCTGCTGCTTAGGAGGTGAGGGATCAGTGCTGGTCAGTAAGGAAGCTGATTGATAACCTATGGAAAGAGCAACTGGAGCAGTGAGTGGGGTGGTCAGTGGGCTGTAAGGAGGGAGTGGCCTGCAAATGGCCGTGGGCTACAGCGGGGCCCGGGCTTCAGGCTGTGGAGGGGACAGAGAGAGGCATTCGGTGGGAGCAGGGGGTGGGAAGTGGGTGGGAATGGGGCTGGGAGGTGGCTGTACTGGGAGCGCTGTGGGTGTGTCATGCTGAGGACATGCAGGTTATCTGTGCTGCATCGTCTCACTGGGGTGATCCTCCTCCAGGTGACACTAGGCAATGTCTGAGCATTTCTTTTTTCTTTTTCTGTTGTTAAAAAAAAAAAAAAAAAAAAGGTGTCTTTATTGATGTCAGAGAGGAAGGGAGAGGGGGAGAGAGAGAGAAACAAAAATGATGAGAGAGAATCATTGATCAGCTGCCTCCTGCATGCCCCCCACTGGGGATCAAGCCCACAACACAAGCATGTGCCCTTTACTGAAATCGAACCCAGGACCTTTCAGCCCGCAGTCTTACACTCTATACACTGAGCCAATCCGGCCAGGGCTCTGGGGCAGTTCTGGTTGTTATGACTGGGGGTGCTGCTAGCATCGGGTGGATGGGGCCAGGGGGTGCTGCTCAGCACACAGTGCCCAGGGTGGCCCCAAATGCCAGTAGTGTAAGGGCTGAGAAGCCACGGAAGGAGGCCATTTAAAATGTTAGAAGCGTACCACACATCTGTAATAATGAAAGCATAATATGCTAATTAGACCCCACGTCCTGTCCTTCGGGAGCAGCCAGGGCTGTGAGGGAAGCCGGAGCCTGCAGCGGGGGAAGGAAGGCCTACTCCAGCAGGAATTTCGTGTATCGGGTCTCTAGTTTGTAATGAAATCCAAGCAGTTCAGATGCCCAGGGTAAAACTAAAGCTCTGCTCTCCCCCGCGGCTGTGCCCATCTTGCTCTGTTGTCTGGTCCACACACATGCTCCTTCCTACTCGCTGATCCAGACCTGGCCGTGTGTGCACTCCAGGCCTTTCCCGTCGGGTGCCAGTTGATATCTCTTGGCAGAGTGGGCAGTACTTGGTGGCTAACCACTGCCCCTGTCACTGGAGGGGTTCTGGAAGGTGGGCGGCTGAGGCTGGCCAGATTCCCGTTTGAGAAGATTGTGGTTGCTGGGAGAGGGTGGTGTGAGCCAGGGAGGGTGGCTCTTCAGGGAGCCTTCCCAGCCTGGTGTTAAGTTCCTCTTGGCTTCAGTTTCTTTTCCCTTACCTGCCCAGGTGTCCTGTTGCTTTGGGGCTGGGGGTGCGGGTGTGGGGCAGGGCTCCCAGGGCATAGGGGCTGGGCTCCTGGAGCTTGAGGGAGGAGCTGTCACTTGGTGTAGGGCCTGAGTCCACCCACAAGAGCCCATGTTTGGATGTCACCTGCAGACTGTGTATTTGTCCCCCCAGGGACAGGCAACAGGAAAGGACACCTCTGGTTATCCGCGCCACCCCCAGCCAACATGTGCTCACACATTTGTCGGGATTCCTCCTGTTTGGCACTTGGGCAAGCCATAAAAGGAAAAAGGCCCAAGCGGTCCCATCTCCCATTCGGTGCCCAGGCGTCTGCAGTGACCACAGTGATGGTCACAGGTGCAGGGAAGCGAGGGCCACCTGTTTGTCGCCTGAAAGAGCCTTTGGGAAGTCTGCTGTCTGTTCATTGTTCTCTAGACAAGGGTTTTCTAAATTGTCCCAGGGCATAGATCAGGGTCAGCGCATGTTTTGTGAAAAGGGCTGGGTGATCTTTTCAGCTCTGGGCTGGGTGATCTCAGTCACCATTACTGCCCCAGGCCGTTATAGTGGGAGAGGCCAGGCTGTTTGTTGGTAAAGCTTTACACAGGCTAAAAGGTATGCATCTCATTGCCTGTGCCACAAAGTATCTTTTTATTTTTTCCCCTAAGCCATTTGAAAATGTAAAAACCGCCCTTGTAAAAACCGCCCTAACCGGTTTGGCTCTATAGAGCATCGGCCTGCGGGACTCAAGGGTCCCAGGTTCGATTCCGGTCAAGGGCATGTATCTCCCTTGTGAGCACATCCCAGTAGGGGGTGTGCAGGAGGCAGCTGGTCGATGTTTCTCTCTCATTGATGTTTCTAACTCTCTATCCCTCTCCCTTCCTCTCTGTAAAAAATCAATAATATATATATATATATATATATATATATATATATATATATATATATATATATTTTTTTTTTTTAAATGTAAAAACCATCCTGGACTTGCAGGCTGGGCAAAATCAGGCAGTGGGCTGGAGTTCTAGCCTGTAGGTCTGAGCTTGCAGACCTGGCTAGGATAACTGCCTTAAGACACACACACCCCAGAAACACCACCCAAACCAAGTGCTTTAAACTCTGGCCCAGGAGCCTGGAGCTGGGCCTGCAAGCAGGCACTCACCTTGGACAAAGAATCTAATGGGGCACCAAAACCTCAGTCATGGAGAATGAAGGATATGATATATTTTAAATTACTTATCCTTATTTTTAGGCCAGTTTTAGATTCACAAAAAAATGGCAAAGGTAATAAAGAGTTCCCATGTACCCCAACCAAGTTTCCCCTGTTAACATCTTATATCAGGCCTGGTGGGTAGCCCAGTTAGAGCATTGTCCCAACACACCAAGGTTTTGGGTTTGATCTCCAGTTAGGACACATATGAGTCAACCAATTAATGTATAAATAAGGGAAATAACAAATATATGTTTCCTTCCCCCCCCCCCCCCCGCCCCACCCCTTCTCTAAAATCAGATTTTCTTAATTTTCCCCTGAGATCCCAGGACCCCATCCAGGATCCCCCATGACAGTGTCACATCTGGACCCCTCTAGGCTGGGACATTTCTGACGCATTCACCAGTTCCATGCCCTGGACGCTCGTGAGGAGGAGGGACCAGGAGTTTGGTAGCTGCACCTCTAGTGGGTCATCTGGTGTTTTCTCATGGTCTGGCTGAGGCAACGTTTTAATGAAATATTTTTCAAGTTGGAATTAATGCAAAAAAAATCAATAGTGAACTGTCGGAACCCCTTTCACGTCCTGCATGATTCATGGTTCCGGTTCAAGGTTCGGGTTCTGGAGAAGGCCGCACACAAATGAAAAAGAGACTTTGAAGAGTATTAATTTGGGAAATGGAGGCCAGGCGATAGTCCAACTCAAGTGAGAGGACTACTACTCGCTCTGGCTTTCCCATCCCTTTTATTAAGATTAAAATTATAGGATACACCCATATCCCCTAGGCAGGAAACTCCAATAAAAGCCATTTAGTGAATATAGGACTAAGAGGTGGGGGCTGCTTCAACTATGGTACCAATATCTGGTAATTAGCTCTGACCCTTTGCAGTGTTTCCCAAACTTCTCTCATGATGAGAATTACCTGGTGGAGTTGTTAAAATACAGATTACTGAATCCCAACTAAGAAGTGCTAAACTAGAATTTTTGGGAACATATAGGTAAAATTGTATACTTAACTAGAGCTCTAGAGCACTAGTTAAGTATACAGTGTTATACAATTTTAATTCTATATGTTCTTTATACAATTTTAATTCTATATGTTCCCCAAAATTCAGGAATCTGTAGTTTAACAACTCCACCAGGTGATTCTCATCATGAGAGAAGTTTGGGAAACACTGCTTTAGAGCAATTAAGGTTGACCAGTCCTCCGAATTCCCTGTCCTCAGCTCTCTATTATTAAATCAATGATCAGCTTCTGGCAGTGAACAAAATACCCAAAACTTAAACCCAGTATCAGAACTGCTGGTTTTCCCTTTTTCCTGAGCTCTGACCTGGATCTTTGTTGTGTCGCTGCAGTTGGAGACCCTCCTGTTCGAAGAGAGGAGGGTGGGAGAGAAAGGGCTCCAATAGGCACCCATCTTCCTATTCTTTCTTTTTTTTATTGATTTAGAGAAAAGCATTGCGTGTTCTACTTATTTATGCATTCATTGGTCGACTCTTGTATGTTCCCTGACTGGGATCAAACCTTGGTATATCCGGACGACACTCCAGCCAACGGAGCTACTGGCCAGGGGTAGGCACGTGGGTTTGGGGGCAGGAGACCTTGTCTGTGGCTTCTCCCCCGGGCACCAGCCCTCCCTGGCGACAGCAGAGTCTGGGTGGTGAGATAGAAGAAGACAGAGCAAAGACAGGCATGTGAACCCTGAGCAGCTGTCTTTAGAGAGTAGGGCCAGCAGTTTTTTGCGGATTGAGAGTTTATTTCAAAAAGGCAGTTCCTAGAAGGTGGTAGTGGAGGGAATGACCCAAGGTGACTGCTGTTGGTGGGAGAGAGAGCCCTTGCTGTGTGTGTGGAGGGGAGCAAGGGGAGTGGGGAATGGCCAGGGTGCAGGAGGGAGAAACTTGCTTTGTGTCTGCTCACCTTACTGTGTATCCTGACCCCCTCAGAATTGTCCCCAGCAGACCTGCTCTATCCTGTATTTGCACAGTTCAGGAGAGGGCAGTTTATTGATTTGTGCCTTGGTTTTCCTATCTGTGAAATGGATCTAAGAACCAACTGAGGGATGACAGGTTTTGGAGCTGCTGCAGTAAGGCGGAATATCCAGGCTTGGGAAGGAGGGAGGTGGGAGTCGCAGCCTGGTTCTTAAGTCCCCCCTTGTCCACATTAGCCCAGGACATTCTGGAAGATCCCACATCAGGAAACCCATCAGTCCTGTAGAAACCGGGACCATTGGTCACCCTACTGACAAGTCCTTGGCAGCTCCCCTAAACCCCTCTGCTCAGGGGCCTTTCCTGTGAAAGGGAGGGGAGGGCCCTCTCAGGATCTAAGCTGACCCCACCCCCAGCACAGATACTCGCTGGTGTCCTGTAGCTTTGTGGCACATGGTGCAGCTGTCCAAGCCAGCTGCCCCGAGAGTGGCCTGCTGTCGCCCATCTGTCAGCACCACATGGCGACTTAACAGCTTTGTTGAGATATAACTTCCATCTGATACAGTTCACCTAATTAAACTCTGAAGCTCAGTGGTTTTTGATATATTGAAAGTATGCAGTCATCATCACTAATTCCAGAACGTTCACCTCCACAGAAAGCCTGTCCCCATCAGCAGTCACACTCCCTGGCCCCTGACACCCACTAACCCACTCTCTGTCTCTGGACTTACTACTTGTCCTGGATATTTCACATCAATAGCATCACACACTCTGGCCTTTTGGGTCTGGCTTCTCTCCCTGAACATCACTGTTTCAGGGCTCATGCACACTGTAGCGAGAGCCAGCGCTTTATCCCGTTACATGGCTGAGGAACATTCCGGTATTCTGCGGGACCACAGTCATATTCATCCATCAAAGAGCATTTGTGTTTTCCCTTTTTGGCAGTTGTGAATCGTGCTGCTGTGAACACATGTGCAGGTTTTGTGTAAATGTGTTATTTATCCTGGATGGAGATCCAGCAGTGGATTTGCTGGGTTATGTGGTTACTCTCTGTTTAACCATCTAAGCAATCGCCAGACTGCCTTCCACAGTGGCTGCACCTTTATGATAGAGGTTCCCATTTCTCCATGGCCTCACCGGCACTTGTCACCATCCATCTTCTTTAGCTGTCCCGGTGGGGTGAGGTGGTATCTCACCGCCCTGGTTTGGCTCCAGGTATTTGTAAACACGTACACCTCCATGTGGGAAGGCTGATGGGAAATAGAAGTTGCGCAACCAACTGCTAGGGGACAATGGATGGGGCAGGTCAGGCAACCTGAGGCCTCTCAGGGTTGGTGGGCTGAGCTGGTTGGAGGCCTCACAGGTTAGTAGGAGCCGTGTCCGATGGCAGGCCACCCGGACACCTGCTGTTGTGGGGCTTTCCTTCACCTGGGCTCGCTTTCTCCCCAGGTGAGCGGCATCAAGACGCTGTACGAATCGGAGCTGGCCGATGCCCGTCGAGTGCTCGATGAGACAGCCCGGGAGCGGGCCCGGCTGCAGATTGAAATAGGGAAACTGAGGTCTGAGGTGGAAGAGGCCAACAAAAGGTAAGGGGTACAGCTGGTGCGGTGATGGTCTGATTCTAGGGCTGTAGTGTGTACAGGGCAGGGCAGGCGCTAGAGTCAGGGGCTTGTCAGCCCCCTGGGTGGTGGAGTCACTCTGAGAAGCACCCAGAAAACCTTTGGAGCTCGTCCAACCTGGTGACCCCCACTCAGACAGACCTGGGAGCTGGTCCTGTGGGTTCTTGGAGGCCAGGGATCAGCAGTGCACTGGCTGCTGGGTGGGTGAGGGTGAGCTCTGTATCCTAGCCCTCTAGCTACCCCTGACCACCTTTAATCCCACCCACCCCACAACATAATTTGGCCCAAGGATGGTGTTGAACCTGGGCAGCATTCCTAGGACTGAATCTAGAGGTGGTAGAACCAGGTCAGCCTCCTTCAGGCCACAGAGCCCAGCTTCCCCCATGACCATCGCCGTTTGGGAGACGGCGATGTGCCAACTTCCCTGTTCCTGGGGCCCCTGCAGGTCCAACTTATGCTGCCTTATGCGTGGTGAGGTGGTCTTTATCCTCTGTGCCTCCTCTGTGTGTCATCCTGGGAAATTTCGGGGCAAACTCCCCAGCCCGTCCTTACCCAGTCAGACCCACTGAGGCAGGCAACCTTCAGGCTGTCTTTTTTTCTTATTTGCAAAGCACGTTCTCTTGCCTGCTTATAAATAAAAAGGCTTCACAAACTGGGAGAACAAGTTGGTGCCGGTGATAATAGCAGAAGTAATACAGTGTGTGTGTGTGTGTGTGTGTGTGTGTGTGTGTGTGTGTGTGTGTTAATCCTTACCCAAGGACATATTTTCCCCCCATTGGTTTTTAGAGAGAATGGAAGGGAAGGGGAGAGACAGAGAGAGAAACACTGATGTGAGAAAGACACATCGGTCTGTTGCCTCCCGGACCCGCCCTGACCAGTCACCCAAGGTATGTACTCTTGTTTGGAATCCATCCTTTAGTCTGAGGGCCGACACTAACCACTGAGTAAAACCAGCCAGGGCAAAGTAATTTAAAAATATAGATATTTTTATTGATTTCAAAGAAGAAGGGAGAGGGAGAGAGATAGAAATGTTAGTGATGAGAGAGAATCATTGATCAGCCACCTCCTGCATTCCCTGCACTGAGAGATTGAGTCTGTAACCTGGGCATGTGCCCTTAACTGGAATCAAATCTGGAACTCCTCAGTCCGAAGGCCAATGCTGTATCCACTGAGCCAGACCACATATGGCCAAAGTAATTTTTTTTAATCCTCACCTGAGGATATGCTTTCATTGGTTTCTGGAAAGAGAGAAGCATCTATCAGTTGCCTCCCGATGCACACTGACCAGGGATTGAACCCACAGCCTTTTGGTGAATAGGACAGTTCCAGCCCAACTGAGACACTCGGCCAGGGTGTAATAAAATAATTTAAATACATCAAGTTAATACAGGGGATACCATGAGTAACACCAAGTTCAGGCATGATCCCCTTTCATCCTCACAGTGACCCTAGCAAGGCCAGGCTATCAGCATCTCTTTACAGAGTGGGAAACTGAGGCATGGGATTGGGACTTACCCACGGTCCCTCAGCTCAGCAGTGACCAGGACCAAGGCCTGGACCCTGGTTTCCTGAGTTCCTATGGTAGTGCCAACAGCTACCTTCATATTTGTGGCATTTTTTTCTTTTTTTAATTTTTTTTTTTTTTTTTGATTTTTTAACAGAGAGAAAGGGAGAGAGATAGAGAGCTAGAAACGTCGATGAGAGAGAAACATCGACCAGCTGCCTCCTGCACACCCCCTACCAGGGATGTGCCTGCAACCAAGGTACATGCCCTTGTCCGGAATCGAACCTGGGACCCTTCAGTCCACAGACCAATGCTCTACCGCTGAGCCAAACTGGCTTCGGCTTTTTCTTCTTTTTTTGATTAATAGATTAAAAAAAATTTTTTTTTAATTGATTTTTTTTAGGGAGAGAGAGAGATAGAAACATTGATGAGAGAGAAACATTGATGAGCTGCCTCCTGCATGCACCCCACTGGGGATCAAGCCCGAAATCTGGGCATCTGCCTTGACCTGGAATCGAACCGACAACATCCTAGTGCATGACTCGATGCTCAACCACCAAGCCACACTGGCTAGGCTTTTTCTCCCTCCTTTTTTTAACAGAGGGTTTTTGTTTGTTTGTTTGTTTTTAGCAATTTTAGGTTTACAGGAAAATGAATGGAAAGTTCGGTTTCAAAAATCACCCGTTGGGTTTCCCCATTGTCAGTGTCTTACATTAATGAATGAGCCATCCTATATAATAAAAGAGTAATATGCAAATTGACCGTACTTTCCCTACACCCACAAGCCACGCTCACAAGCCAATAGGAGTAAATATGCAAATAAACCCAGCCAAGATGGCTGTGGCCACAGAGAACAGGGGTTTCCCTGGCAATGGAGGAAGCCAAGCTTTCTGCCTACCCTTACTGGCCCAGGCCTCCACTCAATGCTACGAGGTTTCAATGATAGAAGATAAATAAATCTCAACAAAAATGGTAGCAGCCACAGAGCTGGAGAAAGCAGAAGGCTTCAGTTGCTCCTGGAGATGGAGTAAGCCAAACTCTCCGCCTACCCTGGCCTGCCTTGACCTCCGCTTAAGGCTACAAAGTTTCAATTATAGAAGAGAAATCCTAACAAAAATGGCTGCGACATGGAGCGAGCAGGAGGCTTAGTTCCACTCAAGGCTACAAAGTTTCAATTATGAAAGAAATACATCCCAGATACCAGGGCCTCTTGGGTCACCGGGACCCTTCAGTCTGCAGGCTGACGCTCTATCCACCGAGCCAAACCAGCTAGGGCTGTTGATGGTTTCTTTTGCTGTATAGCCTTTTATTTTGATGTAGTCCCATTTGTTTATTTACTCCTTAGTTTCCTTTGCCTTAGGACAGTGGTCGGCAAACTCATTAGTCAACAGAGTGGGAAACCATGGCTCACAAGCCACAGTATGCTGACCACTGCCTTAGGAGGTGTGTCTGTAAACATATTGCTATGAGAGATGTCTGAGATTTTGCTGCCTATAGTTTCTTCTAAGATTTTTATGGTTTCTTGACTTATATTTGAGTCTTTTATCCATTTTGAGTTTTTCCTTGTGTATGGTGAAAGTTGGTTATCTAGTTTCATATTTTTGCAGGTATCTGTTCAATTTTCCAGAACCATTTATTGAAGAGACTGTCCTGACTCCACTGTATGCTCTTGCCTCCTTGGTTAAATATTGAGCGAAATGGCGTGGGTTGATTTCTGGGTTCTCTGTTCTGTTCCATTGATCTATATGCCTGTTTTTGTACCAGTATTGTTTTGATTACGTGGCTTTGTAGTATAACTTGAAAACTGGTAATTATGATTCCTCCAACTTTGTTTTTCTTCTTTTTTTCATATTATTTCAGAGAGGAAGAGAGAGAAACATCAGTGAAGAGAGAGAATCATTGATCGGCTACCTCCTGCATGCCCACTGGGGATCTAGCCCAATCCCAGTTATGTACCCTGACCAGGAATAGTACCGTGACCTCCTGGTTCATAGGTCAATGCTCAACCACTGAGCCACACTGGCTGGACTCCAGTGCTTTTCTGTTCCTGACAAATTCACCACCAAATCCCTATGATGATAGAATTGCAGGTTGCCATGTGGAGGACCCAACAAGTAGGCCAGATTCTCTCATAATCCTTCTGGAATTATGGTAACTGAGATAAGGCATCTACTTGAACACCTTGAAGCTCTTAAGAAACAGGTGCACAAGCCTAGGAGAGCTGCCATGAGTTCAAGAGTTGCTAATCTTGAACTTGCTGGGCCTGAACACTCTTGTGCTGGAACTACTGCACCTGGTGGTCCACGTAAAGGTGCAGCTCCCATCTGGCACTTGCTTACTTCCTACCTCCCTTCCCTGCTTCATCTGTCTTTTTTTTTTTTAATATATTTTTTTGCTTTTTTACAGAGAGGAAGGGAAAGGGATAGAGAGTTAGAAACATGGATGAGAGAGAAACATCTACTGCCTCCTGCACACCCCACATTGGGAATGTGCACACAATCAAGGTTCATGCCCTTGACTGGAATCGAACCTGGGACTTTTCAGTCTGCAGGCCGATGCTCTATCCACTGAGCCAAATTGGTTAGGGCTCATCTGTCCTTAAAATAGGTTCATGTCTAATAGGCAGCATATTTCTCTGTCTCTGCTTCATGTGAGCGGGGCTGCTTCCACAGGCAGCTCTGGAGTGAGGACAGCGTTCTCCACACTGAAGTCTCTGATCTCTGTGCCACCCCCGTTCACTGAGCTTATGCAGTGTCCCCAGTGGTTTTCATCCAGGGTGACTGCCCCCGGGAGCTGGGTGGTGCTTGGAGATATTTGTGGTCCTCAAAGGGGTGGGGCTAGGGATGCTGCTCAACCTCCCACAGTGCACAGGACAGCCCCCCAGAATGGCCCAGCCCTGTGTCCCCAGTACTGAGGCCTTAGTGTCCCCAATTACTGAGATGGCCCAACAAGTTGGGAAATAGGTGGATAAGCTTTCAATAAAATGCAGAATTACATTCAGAAATGTATAGGAGTCTAACGTTCATGCTATTAATTATTGTATATTTAAGGAACCATTTGACATCTTAAATATTTGATATTGGAGATCATTGTCCATTAGAATACCAGGTGATCCTGTGTGAAAGAAATAAATCTCAGAAAAGGACATAAAAACCCATCCTTAGGGGGCTTTGAACACTTGTATTTGAAGAGTCCTGAAGGTGCGGGGCAGGTTTCAGGAGGTCACTTTTTATGCCCACAGGTGAGGCTCCCTTATCAGAAAGTGGGGAATGGGTCAAGTCCCAAGAGCAAAAGGGCCCTTGGCTCAAACAGAAGTGAATTTTGTCTTAGGCCCTTCTTGGGCCCCACACACAGCTGCTCAGTCCTCCCAGCTAACCTCTGCTCTTGACTTTCAGCTCCAAGAAGAGGGACGGTGAGCTCACGGTGGCCCAGGGCCGTGTGAAGGAACTGGAGTCCCTGTTCCACCGGAGTGAGGCCGAGCTGGCTGCTGCCCTCAGCGATAAGCGCAGCCTCGAGGGTGATGTGGCCGAGCTTCGGGCCCAGCTGGCCAAGGTAGGCCCGGGACAGGCCCCCCCCCAAGCCTGGAGGCAAGAGGCTCGAGGGGGTGGGCATGTGAGGGTCCTGGGGTGGCCACGGAACTTCACGCAGGTGTGAGTTTGGTATTTAGGGACATCCCTGAGCACGAGGAGCCAGAGTGCAGCAAAGAGACAGCCAGGGCCCGAGGGCCGTCACCTCAGCTTGTTGTCCGGTGTCTCCCAGGCCGAGGACGGTCATTCAGTGGCCAAGAAGCAGCTGGAGAAGGAGACGCTGATGCGCGTGGACCTGGAGAACCGCTGCCAGAGCCTGCAGGAGGAGCTGGACTTCCGCAAGAGCGTCTTCGAGGAGGTGAGCTTTTCTCCCGTCAGTGTGGTCCACCTTCGTTTTTGTTGTTTTGTTTTTTTGTTTTGTGTGTTTTTTTTTGCATGTGTCTCCAGTTTTCCCAGCACCGCTTGTTGAAGAGCCAGTCTGTACCCCATTGTATATCCTTGCCTCCTTTTAGGTCAATTTAACACTGAGGGTTATTTTTGGGTTTTCTGTTCTGTTCCCTTGACCTGTATGTCTGTTTTTATGCCCATACTATGCCGTTTTGATTGTTGTAGCTTTATAGTATGGTTTGATATCAGGGCACATGGTACCTCCCACTTTGTTCTTTCTCAAAATTTCTTTGGCTATTTGGTGTCCTTTTTAAAAAGAACATGTTTTTATTGATTTTAGAGAGAAACATTGATCGGTTGCCTCCTGCACATACCCTGATAGGGAATAGAACCCGAAATATAGGTATGTGCCTGACTGGAAATTGAACTGTGACCTCAGTGCATGGTACAATACGCAGCCAACTGAACCATACCAGCCAGGGTTACTTGGCGTCTATTCTGGTTTCATATAAGTGCTAGGATTAGTTGTTCTAATTCTGTGTGTGTGTGTGTGTGTGTGTGTGTGTGTGTGTATGCCAAGATCACTCTTATCAGAAAAATTTAGGAAACCCAGCCCTTTGAGATAGCTCTCTCTCTGGCCAGTGTCACAAAACAAAAATGTAAGTGGCCTGCGGGTGTCCCACCCACTCCAGTGTCACAGAGGACTCCCTGCATGGCTGGACCAATCGGATGTGCAGAAGGTAGTTGTTAGATAGACCTCAGTGGTCAGGATAACCAGGGAATGAATAGAGTGTCTTTTTGTGTTTCTTTATCTTTTTGTGTTTTGTGGTAAAGCCAGGTGGACAAACTAAAAGTAAGGGTGCTGAAAGATGACATGATGACCAGTTCTGAATAATTCGTTGAGCAGTGCTAATCCATTACTTCTTTTCTATTAATCGCTTACCAGATATATGATTTTTCCATTAATTTTTCAGTTCCCATCCCTTTCTCCCCTTCAGTGCCTTTAGTAGCCATCAACTTGTTTTTTTTGCATCTATGGGTCTGTTTCCATTTTATTTTGTTTGTTTGTTTTGTTCTTTAGATTCCACATATAAGTGAAATCATATGGTATTTTTCTTTCTCTCATTTCTCCAACTTATTTCATGTTGTAGGATACCTTGTAGGTCCATCCATGTTGTTGAAAATGGCAAGATTTTTTTTTTAAACTTTTTTAAAAATTTATTATTATTATCTGTGTACATATTTTAATATTGCCCCCCCTCCCATATATACCCTCCCTCCCCAGAGTTTTGTGTCCATTGGTTGTACTTATATGCATGTATACAAGTCCTTCGGTTGATCTCTTATCTCCCCCAGATCTCCCTACCCTCCCGGCTGTAATTTGACAGTTTGCTTGTTGCTTTACTGTTTTTATATCTGACTTTTGGTTCATCAGTTTGTAATGTTCTTTAATATCCATAAATGAGTGAGGTCATATGGTATTTCTCTTTCATTGACTGGCTTATTTCACTCAGCATGATGTTCTCTAGTTCTGTCCAGGTTGCTGCAAATGATGAGAATTCCTTCTTTTTTATGGCAGCATAGTATTCCATTGTGTAGATGTACCATGGTTTTTGCAGTCAAATGCTCTACCACTGAGCTATACCCCCTATACCATGGTTTTTGGATCCAATCATCTGCTGACAGGCACGGAGTCTGTTTCCAGATTCTAGCTATTGTAGATTGTGCTGCTATGAACATAGGGGTGCATATATCCTTTCTGATTGGTGTTTCTAGTTTCTTGGGATATATTCCTAGGAGTGGGATTACTGGGTCAAATGGGAGTTCCATTTTCAGTTTTTTGAGGAAACTCCATACTGTTCTCCACAGTGGTTGCACCAGTCTGCATTCCCACCAGCAGTGCACAAGGGTTCCTTTTTCTCCGCAACCTCGCCAACACTTGTCGTTTATTGATTTGTTGATGTTGGCTATTCTGACAGGTGTGAGATGGTACCGTATTGTTGTTTTGATTTGCATCTCCGAAAATGGCAAGATTTTATTATTTTTTATGGCTGAGTAATGTTCCATTGTATGTATGTACCCTATCTTTAATCGGGTATGAGTGGACACTTAGGTTGCTTCCATAGCTTGACTATTGTAAATAATATAGCAATGAACATAAGGTGCATCTATCTTTTTGAATTAGTATTCTTTTTTCTGGTAAATAATCAGAAAAGGATTTGCTGTGTTATAAGGTGGTTGTATTTTTAATTTTTAAGGCACCTCCATACTGTTTTCTGTAGTGGCTATGCCAATTTATAATCCTACCAACAGTACAACAGAACAGGAGTTCCCTTTTGTCAACACTTGTTTGTTGATTCATTGATGGTAGCCGTTCTGATAGGTGTGAGGTGAGATCTCATTGTGATTGGGTTTTAATTTGCCGTTTTCTGATAATTACTGAGAAATGACATTGAGCATATTTTCATATGTCTATTGGCCACTGGTGTGTCATCTTAGGAAAAGGTCCTCTGCTCATTGTTTAATAGGATTTTTAAAAATATATATATTTTATTGATTTTTTACAGAGAGTAGGGAAAGGGATAGAGAGTTAGAAACATTGAAGTTCTTTATATATGTTGGGTATTAATTAACCTCTTATCTGCGGTATTGTTTGCAAATATCTTCTCCTACTTGGTTGGTTGGTTGTTTTTTATTATTAATCCTCACCTGAGGATATTTTTTCCATTGAATTTTCAGAGGGAGTGGAAGAGAGGGGGAGAGACAGAGAAACATTGATATGAAAGAGACACATCGATTGGTTGCCTCCCACAGGTGCCCCAACTGGGACCAGGGATCAAGCCTGCAACCCACCTACATGCCCTTACCTGGAACCAAGCCCACACCCTTCATTTGGCGGCCAACACTAACCATTGGCCCAAGCTGTCCAGGGCTGCTGCCTTGTATTTCATTGTTTCAGGTCTCACACTTAAGACATCTAATTTGGGCTCATTTCTGTGTGTGGTGTCAGCAGTCTACTTTCACTCTTTTGCATGTGGCTGTCCAGTTTTCCCAGCACCATTTATTGAAGAGGCTTCCCTTTCTCAGACAACATGGTATGTTTTTGTTCCTTTATTGGAAACTAGAGGCCTGGTGCACAGAATTCGTGCATGGGGGGCGTCCCTCAGCCCAGACTGCATCCTTTGGTCTGTAGACTGACACTTTAACCACTTAGCAAAACTGGCAGGGCCAGAGATGCTTCTTAAGATAGATGCTTTGCCCTGGCTGGGTTTCTCAATGGTTAGAGCGTCAGCCCACAGACTGAAGGATCTCGGGTTTGATTTCCAGTCAGGGCACATTTGGGAGTCAATTCATTGATGTGTCTCTCTCAGGTCAATGTTTCTCTCTCTCTCTCTCTCTCTCTCTCTCTCTCTCTCTCTCTCTCTCTCTCTCCCCCTCCTTCCCTACCCCGCCCCCTCCCTTCTACTGTCTTAAAATCAATGGAAAAATATCCTTGGGTGAGGATTTTAAAAAAAGATGGACTTGTCATTGGGTTTAGAGAGCCCACCTGGATAATCCAGGGTGATCTTATCTTGAGACCCATAATTTAATTTTATCTGCAAAGTTTTTTTTTTTTGTTTTTTTTTTTTAATATATATTTTATTGATTTTGTACAGAGAGGAAGGGAGAGAGATAGAGAGTTAGAAACATCGATGAGAGAGAGTCATCGATCAGCTGCCTCTTGCACACCCCCTACTGGGGATGTGCTGGGGATATGCCCGCAATCAAGGTACATGCCCTTGACCGGAATCGAACCTGGGACCCTTCAGTCCCCAAGCCGACGCTCTATCCATTGAGCCAAACCGGTCCCGGCTTTTTTTTCTTTTTAAATTAAGTCCACACTCGGTTCTGGGGATTAGGATATAGCTATACTTTTTTTTTTTTTTTTTTTTTAAGGTGGGGTGGGGGGGAGAGAATCATTGATTGATCAGTTGCCTCTTGCACATGTCTGAATCGGGGATTGAACCTGCCACCCTTTGGTATACAGGATGATGCTCCAACCAAGGGAGCCACACTGGCCAGGGTGCAGGTATTCCTTTATGGGGCCACCATTCAGTCCGCTCCAGTCCCTCCCCATCCAAGGGCAGGTGGGGCCGTGCACTCCCCTCTGTTCCTGGGTCTGGTCACCCCTCATCCTAATCCCTGTGCCTTGGCTCCCTGGCATAGCCAGCCTGGCTGGGAGGGGGCCCATGCGGGGCCCTCCCACGTCGCCATCACAGGGCCCATTGTGCTGCCATGGCCCAGACGGAACCTTGCAGCCGGGCAGTGAGCATTTCCTGGGCGGGAAGAGCTGCTGGCAGGAGGGCACGCATGCAGCTGAGAAGTGGTTTGTGGCTCCAGCCAGGCCCCATGACAGCCAGAGCCTCCAGGGGAGCCAGGGAGAAGGCCAGGAGGAGAGCTGAGGGGGCACCCATGGAGGTACCCCAGTCTACCAGGGACCAATGAGGAGGCCCCTGTGGGGTGATGGGAGCACAGTGTGGGAGGGGTCCCTGAGTGGGCTGTGACGAGCTCCTGGGGGGCTCCACGAAGGGGACTGTGGAGGGAGCCCACAGGGGCAGTGAGGGGTGTGCGCAGGGCACTGCCAGAGGGACTGGCGAGAAGCTGCGGGGCGGTGGTGCAGGCGGGTGTGCTGGCACGGCTCCCCGGGGTGATGCTCCTGTTGTATTACAAACCGATGACAGCGACAGCGACTGGTTTCTGAGCTGCATGAGTGGAGAGGATCCTCTTCCTCTGGAGCCCCTAGCCTTCCCCCCACCTGCACTTGGCCCCACGGAGAGCCTGGGGCAGTACATCAGTGGCACTGTGGTTTGGACTTCCGCCTGTCACTGTCAATGGCCAGGTGTCTCAGGCCCTGGGCACCTGGGACAGACTTGGTCAGAAACATATTTTCTAACTAGAGGCCTGGTGCATGAAAATTCTTGCACTGGAGGTGGGGGGGGGGTCCTTTAGCCCGGCCTGCCCCCTCTCACAGTCCTCAGGGCAGGAGGTGACCCAGCGATCAGGGGAAGGCGGCGCCCCATCACACTTCTGCTGCTGCCAGCAGCGCAAGCCTCGGCCGGCCCGGGCAGCCGGGCAGCCAACATCCGAAGCTTGCCTGTGCCTTGGGCTGGTCCTGGGGGCTGGAGGGCTAAGGGGGTTGGGGAACTCCAGAGGCAGGTGCCCCGAGGGGCTGAGGGGACTGAGTGCCGCCATCTTGTGGCTGTAGGGCGTGGCAGTCAATTAGCATATGCCCTCCTTATTAGATAAGGATAACTTCATTGAAACATTCTCATGTCATAAAGCTTTTTTAAAAATATATATATTTTATTGATTTTCTACAGAGAGGAAGAGTTAGAAACATCAATCAGCTGCCTCCTGCACATCCCCTACTGGGGATGTGCTCTCAACCAAGGTACATGTCCTTGACCGGAATCGAACCTGTGACCTTTCAGTCGACAGGCCGACACGCTATCCACTGAGCCAAACCGGTTTCGGCTCATAAAGCTTTTAAAGTGTACAATTTACAGTGGCTTTTAGTATATTCAACAAGGTTGAGGAACCATCACCTCTAATTCTAGAACATTTCATCACCCCAAAAAGGAGCCCGGCACCCATTAGCAGTTTCTCCCAAACCCCCTACATCCTGTCTCTGGATGTGCCTGTTCTGGACAGTTCACTGTGCGGCCTTTGGTGTCTGGCTTCTCACTGGACATCATGTTTTCATGGACCATCCATGTTGTAGCGAGTACCAGTGCTTCGTTCCTTTTCGTGGTTGAGTCATTGTGTTTGTCCACTGACCATTGAAGGACGTTTGGGCTGTGTCCTCTGGTGATTGTGAACCGGGGTGACTCCTCAGAGTTCCCTGTTTGCACAGTTTTGAGCCCTCGTACACCTGACACTCGGGTGGGAGTCACTGGTGAGCAGGATGGGTCGGTGGCAGCCCCGCTGCCTGCATCAGCGTCGGCCTCGGCGTGCTCTGCCCCCAGGAGGTGCGGGAGACGCGCCGGCAGCACGAGCGGCACCTGGTGGAGCTGGACAGCGGCCAGCAGCAGGAGTACGACTTCCGGATGGCACAGGCCCTGGAGGAGCTGCGCGGCCAGCACGACGAGCAAGTGCGGCTCTACAAGCTGGAGCTGGAGCAGGCCTACCAGGCCAAGGTGCGGGGGAGGGCCGGAGAGCGACGGACAGGGAGCGGGGACGGACAGGGAGCGGGGACGGACAGGGAGCGGGGACGGGACAGGGAGCGGGGACCGACAGGGAGCGGGGACGGACAGGGAGCAGGGACGGGACAGGGAGCGGGGACGGGACAGGGAGTGGGGACGGACAGGGAGCGGGGACAGGACAGAGCGGGGACGGACAGGACAGAGCGGGGACGGACAGGACAGAGCGGGGACGGACAGGGAGCGGGGACGGACAGGGAGCGGGACAGGACAGGGAGCGGGGACGGACGGAGCGGGGACGGACAGGGAGCGGGGACGGGACAGGGAGCAGGGACGGGACAGGGAGCGGGGACGGACAGGACAGAGCGGGGACGGACAGGACAGAGCGGGGACGGACAGGGAGCGGGGACAGGACAGGGAGCGGGGACAGACAGGGAGCGGGGACAGGACAGAGCGGGGACGGACGGGGAGCGGGGACAGGACGGAAAAGTACAGGTGCCTCATCTTCCTGCTCCCGTCTCCTCAGCTGGACAACGCCAAGCTGTGCTCGGACCAGAACGATAAGGCCGCCAGCGCTGCCCGCGAGGAGCTGAAGGAAGCACGCATGCGAGTTGAGTCCCTCAGCTACCAGCTCTCCAGCCTCCAGAAACAGGTGACTGGGAGTTCCTGCCTGCCCCTGCCCCTGCCCCTGCCCCTGCCCCTGCCCCTGCCCCTGCCCCTGCCCCTGCCCCTGCCCCTGCCCCACCACCTAGCATCCTTCCTCCGGCCTGGGGTAGTTAGGCACCCGGCCATTCCTGTGCCTCCCTGAGTGAGGCTCCCCGCTGCTGGCCCCCCCCAGGCCTGGGGTCTGGCTTGGAGCCAGGGGGGCTTCTTACGACCCACGGCCGCCCTGACCTGGCCCCGGACCCCTCCCCAGGCCAGTGCAGCTGAGGACCGGATCCGGGAGCTCGAGGAGGCCATGGCCGGGGAGCGTGACAGGTTCCGGAAGATGCTGGACGCTAAGGAGCTGGAGATGACAGAAATGCGAGATGTGATGCAGCAGCAGCTGGCCGAGTACCAGGAGCTGCTGGATGTCAAGTTGGCTCTGGACATGGAGATCAGTGCCTACCGCAAGCTGCTGGAGGGCGAGGAGGAGAGGTGGGGAAAAGGGGAGGCAAGGGGCTGCTGGCTAGGAGGAGATCAGGTGGCAGGAAGGGAGAGGGTGGGAGGTGGGGGGGCGGGGTTAGGGAGGTATAAGGAGGAGAGACCAGCCTGGGGCTGGTCAGGATGGACTGCTGAGTGAGTCTGCCCACTTTGCCCTGTCTGGGCTGTTCTGTTCTGACCTTAAGCCACCACCAGTCACCCTGTGTCCCTCCCCCAGGCTGAAGCTTTCCCCCAGCCCATCGTCACGGGTCACCATCTCAAGGGCCACCTCGAGCAGCGGCAGCGGCGTGTCCATGATGGGGCGCTCTGGCCGCAGCAAGCGGAGGCGGCTGGAGACAGAGGAGCCGCTGGGCACAGGCTCCAGTGGCATCAGCTCGGGCGGCGGCGGCGGCGGCGGCAGCTTCCACCTGGCCCAGCAGGCCTCAGCCACGGGCAGCGTGAGCATTGAGGAGATCGACCTGGAGGGCAAGTTTGTGCAGCTGAAGAACAGCTCAGACAAGGTAAGGAGCCTTGCTGCTGGGCGGAGGGTTCCCCCGCTGGGTCTGGGCTGTGTTTCAGGCCGTTCCCCTTTGCAGGACCAGTCTCTTGGGAACTGGAGGATCAAGAGGCAGATCCTAGAAGGGGCGGAGATTGCCTACAAGTTCACACCCAAGTATGTGCTTCGGGCTGGCCAGACTGTCACGGTAGGTGGCTTTGGAAGGGCAGGTGGACTGGGTGGAGGGAGCTGGGGGGATAGGAAGAGTGACCACCAGTGGGAGGGAGATGGCAGCAACCAGACAGGCGACAGGCCGTGGGATGGGGCTGGAGAAGCAGGACCAGGCTGGGGGTGGAATCGTGGTTGAGTGTCCGGTTTTGAGAAAAGCTGCCCTAAGTCACAAATCACGTGTGTGCAGCATTGTTCCAATGGGTCCTCCCCAGAGCCCTTTGGAATGCCTAATTGTCATGCCAGGTTCCCATGGTGGAGGTGGGTCGGTCCAGGCCAGTGGTTGGCAAACTCATTAGTCAACAGAGCCAAATATCAACATATGACGACTGAAATTTATTTTGAGAGCCAACTTTTCCAAAGAATTTTTTCTAAATCTTCAAAATAGACTTGCTCAAGCCATGGTATTTTGTGAAAGAGCCACACTCAAGGGGCCAAAGAGCCGCATGTGGCTCGCGAGTCAAAGTTTGCTGACCACTGGTCCAGGCTATTTGGGCCAGTGGGAATTGGCAAGAGATGAAACTAACAGTTATGGACATGGACCTTGAAGCTAACAGATCCCAGCTCATCCTGTTTGCCAAGATGAGTGTCCTTGGCCACTATGAACTTCAGTGTCTTCTTCCATTCCCTAGTGATCATGTCTGGGTAGGACCCAGTAAAGCTGGAAGGATTAAATCCCTGGTGCATCTAATGGGGGCTCTGATAAGGGACCGGCTAACAGCACATGGACCGGGACCAGAGCCAACATTGACAGGGAGGCCCTCCTGTGTCTCTCCAGGTATGGGCAGCTGGCGCAGGGGTGGCCCACAGCCCCCCATCAACACTTGTATGGAAGAGCCAGAACAGCTGGGGCACAGGCGAGAGCTTCCGGACTGTCCTTGTCAACGCCGATGGGGAGGTGGGTATTTGGGGCTTGGGATGTGGGGGTTCCTCTACCTCAGCCCTGGGGTCTCCCCTATCCACCTCACACCACAGCACCAGCCAGTGCAGGGAGGAGCCTGGCCATGAGGGCAGCCCTGGGCCCGGTCCGCAGATGGCACTCTGCAGGGTGACACCTGAACAAGCATGTTGACTGCACCTATGTGGGCTGGGCACTGCACCTATGTGGGCTGGGCGCTGCACCTGAGGGGTTGGGTGTCATGGCTCTTGTCTTACACAGGAAGTGGCCATCAGAACGGTGAAGCAGTCCTCGGTGGTGCGGGAGACCGAGAACGGGGAGGAGGGAGAAGAGGAGGGAGCCGAGTTTGGCGAGGAGGATCTTTTCCATCAGCAGGTAGGCCCCGGGGGCTCACTCGGACTCACACATACATATACATGCATACACGTGCACACGTGCACTGCTGGGCCCTGCAGTTTGTAGCCAGAGCGGCCGTGGGGCAGCACCCCTTGCCTCTAGGTCTTGCCTGTTGTGTGGACTCGGGGTACCAGTCCCGGGACCCCTGGGGGTGGGGTTGCCTCTCCAGGCGGCACCACTGGTCCTGCTCTCGTGGTCTCTGAGAATGCCCTCTGGCACCATGACTTTGATCGGAGAAGGTGAGTTAAATGATGGCCTTTGGGAGAAGATGGAGATTCTCACGCCACACGTTAGATTAGGCTGTGCGGCTTCTGATGTTTGAGACAGAATTGTGACATGCTAATGTAGCTGAAAACAGAAGGGAGACGTGGAAGGTTCTGGAACAGGGACAGTTGTGGCCGATGCCATTAGCCCCGTCATCCTGTTGGGGGCTCCGGCCCTGGTGGGGTTGGGGCACATGTGACAGTTCTGTCCTTCCTCCAGGGGGACCCGAGGACCACCTCCAGAGGCTGCCGCGTGATGTGATGGAGCAGGCTCATCGCCTCTTTCCTTCCCCAGAGCCACTGACGACTTTTTATATCACTGGCTTTCTCCAGTCCTTCATACATTTCTAGAGAATTTTTAAGCGAACTGCCAGAATGTGGGGTGGGTCTCTGTCCTCTCAACCACTGTCCAGGTGTCTTCCGGTGCCCATTCTCCGTGGGTTGGCCTCCAGGCCCAGGAACCTAATGGCTGATGGGTTTGGTCTTAGAGGCTGGAGGGGCCCACGCACTGCCCGCCCTCCCCAGTCTAAGGGGAGGGCAGAGAAGCTGCAGGAATTCAGTAGTTGTCCTTTGTGTTATTAAGCTTTTAAAAACCAAATCAGAATCCAGGTTCCTGCCTGGTGGGATGGGGGGTCCCGTGGGTTTGGTGGCTCGCCCACCAGAAGGGGGTGTGGGAGCTCTTGGGAGTCACAGGTTTTACCGTCTGCCTGGCTTTGGGGTTGTTGCGGCTCCTGCTCTGAAGGTGCCAGGTGACAAGCAGGGTTTTCCACCTGGTGACCAGGGCACCGTTGGGTGGGTCTCCTTGTCCCCATTATGGCTGCCTAACCATGCATTTCTGGAACAAGACCAGTAGCACAGGAGAGAAGGAAGCCTGGGGAAGGAACACTTCCAACCCAAGACTGGTAGCCGGGTAAAGTGAGGGGACAAGTGTGAACTCGGCAGCAAAGGCCCCTGGTTTTAGGACCACGTCCACGTGGAACCACTTGGTGCCCTCCTGTCATGAAGACACTGGCTTCAGGGTGAGCCACTGGATGCCAGCCTCCCGCCTTCTCATATACATATATATATGGTGACCCCAAAACATGTATACACACTGAATAATTATAAAGGCAGTGTTTATTGAAACACGTTTCTTAAGTTGAGTATCAGCTATTTACAGTGTATACGTTTTTTGTGGACACTGTATTCTGCATATCTATCACTACTCTTGCTTCTATCTGTAACTCTAGTGGAAATAGTTACTCAGGCCACTGCCAGCTGCCCCCTTTAGGGTGGTTCCATGACACGGGCTAGCTCCTGGCTGCCTCGTGACCCTCTCTGCATTAGCCTACCGTTTACAGCCCCACCTAGATACACAGAAGTTATTTTTTTAATGGATATTTATTTTTTTACATTGGTCAGTACTCAGATTGCCGATCCTGCTTCCATGGCTCAGGCCAGAGTCATGGGGACCCTCCCCCAGGGAGCTCTGAGCGGATGGCACACTTCTTCAGAAAGGGCAGCTATGAGCCTGGGGCAGTCTCAGCACCCCCATGGCTGGCCCCCTGGTTCTGTCCCCCCCAGGCCTGGCTTTCCTGGGGAATTGCTTATGGTGGAGAGGGGTGGAGACAGGGCCCGTGCCGGTGGAACCCCAGTGGCTGAACCACATGTGTATGTTCAGGGTTCACCCATAGCCCTCACTTTACAGCTGGTCCTTCCCGTGGCCGCCCTAAGTTCCCAGGCCCAGGAGGGAAGGGTGCCACCAAAACAACTCAGAAAGGTCTGGTAGGCCTCAGAGAGCCTGCCAGCGCAGCACCCTGTACCCACCTGAACCTTTCCTGGGGTGCTGGCAAGGCTCCTGAGGCTGAAGGTTGTGTGCATCCCCACACAAAAGGGGCAGTGACATTTTGGGGGAATCTGGGAATCAGAACTAATTTTGAATTTGGGTCCGTGGTTTGCTAACAGTCGTTCTGTTACAAGCTGTGGACAGAAAGGAGAGGGCCCTAGTGCCTGACAGCCTTGGGTGGAGCCGGGAAGTGGTCCAGGCCACCAGCGGGGAGTCATCTGGGCCCGGGGGTGACCTCATCAGTAATGAAGTGTTCGAACCATGGGGCAGAAATCAATGTGAAACTGCCTGCCGTGGCCAGGGAAACAGTGCATGTCTCCTTAAACAAGCTTAGCTTTAAGCCACTTACAGTGATGCAGAAGGGATTCCTCTGTCTGAGCCCCTATCACGTGACTAATCCAAGCACTGGTCCCAGAGAAAAAAACCAGGCCGGCCCCCAGCAGCGGGGAGGGGCGGCATGCGGGGAGGTGCGAGTCCAGAGCCCAGGCCTGGGCGCCCACCTAGGACGTGATCACTCAGCTAGTTTCCGAGCGGAGACGGACAGGAGACCCTGCGTTGTTCCTGTGAGCATATCCGCAGGACCACCCTTCCCCCACCAGCAGCTACTCACCGGTTTCCCGTCATCGGGCCTCAGCACACTGGCAGTGGAGGAGGCTTCCAGAACTGCGGGGTGGGGGTGGGGTGGGGGGTCTGCACTTTCATTTCAGATGTGTTGGTGGTTTTAAGGTGCATGCCAAATGTGTGGTCTTTTCTTCCCTCCAATGCTTTGTAATATACATTTTCTGACTGGAAAAGTTTTGTACAACACTCCAATAAACATCTTGCTTTTAAGCTGTGCCTCTGAGCTTACTCTGAAGCCGATCACGGAAGCCCAACTGTTAAATGCCGAGGGCTTCTTCCTGAAAGACTCACTTGAGGGGTGTCGGGTCCCACTGACCCCTCCCAGGAGCAAACTCACACACAGTTCCCATCCCTGAGGCAGCTGAGGGCTGGACGTGGTTTCTGACAGACAAGGCAGAGATGAGCAGAAGGCGGGGAGCCTCTGTGGAGAGCACCACTGCTCAAGTCCTCCACCTGCACAGGGCGCAGGGAGACTGCAGTGGCTCCCAGCAGCTGGCCCAGATCCTCCTGCCTTTGAACAAAGGACATCAGGGCCCAGGCCCCCACCTGAGACTGACGCTTAGGTACCTGCAAGGCTGCTACCAACTGCCCAAACCCCCTGACAGCCATCACCTACACAGGCCACTTTCTGCACGAGATAAACAGAAGGCTGGAGAGGTGGGGCTCAACCCAGGAGTCTGTTCCAGTCTTACGTTTCATGAGCCTATTTTGGCCTGAACAAAGGGAGCAAGTGGGGTCGTGCCATTACTGCACACACCTGGCTCCCGACCCAGGCCAGTCCTTAGGCACCAGCTCACCTACCGACACACCGCCTACAGTCTGCTACATCAGAACACTTCCATGACCGAGAGCGCTCTTTTGTCTAATTCTTTTTTTCTCTCTTTTTTGTTAATTCTCACCGGAGGATATTTTTCCATTGATTTTTAGAGAGAGGGAAAGACAAGGAAATATCAATGTGAGAGAAACATTGACTGGTTGCCTCCCTAATGCTCCCCAACCAGGGCTAGGGATCGAACCTGCCACCAAGGCCCGTGCCCTTGACAAGATTCAAATCCGGGACTGCACTCTATCCGCTGAGCCAAATGCTAGAGCTATGTTGTCTGATTCTTTTTTTTTTTTTTTTTTAATTTCAGAGAGGAATAGAGAGGGAGAGAGAGAAACATCAGTGACGAGAAAGAATCATTAATTGGCTGCCTTCTGCACACCCCCCACTGGGGATTGAGCCCACAACCCAGGCCTGTGCCCTTTACTGAAATTGAACCCGGACTTTTCAGCCCACAGACCCATGCTCTATATACTGAGCCAAACCAGCTAAGGCTTGTCCAATTCTTAAAAACGTTCATACACAGTTAAACAAAATGAAAAGAAAAAACTATCAAAGGAACAATAAAAACATGTTAAGGAAATGGAAATAAGTAATTTTCTGGTAAAGAATTCAAAGAAACAGTCATAATGATGTTCACCAAATTGGAGAAGTATTTAGGGAGAATTTCAACAAAGAGAAAATATAAGCAAACCTGAAAAGGACAACAAAGGAAATGGGAAATACAGCAGGAGGAGGAAACTTTATGCATATTCAATTGGTCCATCCATGATGGCGTCCACCTGTGAGGCTGAAGCAGGCAGAAGCCTGCAGGCCACTTACAAGACTTGGGATGTTCTGATACTGGCCAGAGAGAGGGCTACTGCCAAGGGTTTGGTTTCCTAAACTAATGGGATTCACTTTGGACACATGTGCACACACACATATACATACAAAGAATTGGAATAACTAATCCTAAAACTTAAAAGGAATCACAAAAGACCCCGAACATCCAAAGAACAAAGTGGGAGACATCACGATCCCTGATGTCAAACAATAGAACAGGAGGGCTCCGGCATAAAAAGACATTATAGACCAATAGAATAGAGAGCGCAGAAATAAATCATCCCTAATACAGACCATTATCTGTGACAAAGGAGACAGACTCACAGACAGAACAAACAGGTTTGCCGGAAGGGAGCTGGGTGGAAAGGACACCTGAAACTAATATTGTCAACTGTAATTGAAAAGTGAAATCAGAAGAAACCAAGATGGCTGTGTAGGTGAATGCCGTTACTCACTGCCTCCCACAACCACAACATTACAACTAAAACACAGAACAGGCATCATTCAGAACCACCGGAAATCTGCCTGAGTGAAAAGTAAGAAAGCACAGAGGCTGGTAGGAGGGCTGGGCTGACAGCCACGAATGGCATTTTTTTAATCAGGAGGGAGATCTCCAAAAAGGCCTCCACTGAGAAGCAGGGGGTCCCAGCCCCTCCAGCCCAGAGCTGGGAAGAGAAGTCCCCGTAACTTTGGGCTGTAAAAACCAGTAGGGACTGTGGCTGATGGAATCCCAGGTGTTCCTCTTAAAAGCCCACAAATGAGTTTACACCTTCATGATTCCTCCGAGCTCCAGCCCCGGCTGCAGCTTTGGGGAAATCCTGGGACGTGGGGAAATCCTGGGAAGGAACTGGATTGTCTGGCATTGGGGCAGGAATTCAGGGGCAGCTTTCTCCCAGACAGGATGCCCACAGGGGTCACTGTTCCTATGCTGGGACCCCCCCCACTTTTCTCCTTCCCTTCTCCCTCCCTCCTCAGCCCTGTGTCGAAGAGCAGACTGGCGGCCATATCCAAGTTTCCATCAGTGTGGCGCACACTGTTCGCTGGGCCCTGGTGATTCCCTGGGACCCCACCCAACCCAACGTGCAGCCCACCCGCGCTGTTTGTAGCTGCTTTTCCGTATGAATGGCCTGTCCTGGCTCAGGCTTCACGCCGTGCTAACACGTTAAGC